CTTTCTCTATCCTATACGCTTTATATTCCATAAAATAAACAAATTGTGTTACTTATTAAGAAAAATCTTTATTATAACAAGAAATTATTTTAAATCGCAATGTCTACATTGAGGTGTTTAAATAACTAAATGGCTTATTATTGTGATTCGTTTCAAAAATATATAATATTTTCAGTAGTTGATATGTACATAATAATGAAGATCTGCATCTATGTCTAGTCTGCAATATGTACATGTATTATAGTAGGAAGCTCGTTTCGTTCATTTTACGACGATCGAGTTAACGACATTGTATGTGGGAGCTTATTGTGATTAGACGCCAGAAAGTTAGCGAACATAAAACTTAAAGCGATTCTCAGCTGAGAGCGACACATTATGAAGAAGAAACAAGAAAAAAGATTGTAACAGCGGCCGCTGCAAACTTATGTGACTACAGCGCTAAAGGCAAATTGAAGTTTGTGAGACAGTAAAATATTTAAACATTCAAAGACAACGTAATTGTATAAAAGTACATTTACATTTAAAATAGCTTCTGTTAGATTAAAAGACGGCAAAAATGCGTGTGTACATACATTTGTTTTGGGGAAACGTGTTACTCTGCGCCGCGCCGCGCCGCCAGCGCTGCTGCGACACGCCACAGAGCAGCTGACAGCTAGTTATCACATCGATTTGTTTAGATTTGTTTGTATTCATAGCAGCCGCTGACAGCTGCGACTCCGCTCGCACACTGAACTGTACAACAACACTGTACAGTTTTTACATAAAACATCTTGCAATTGAAATAAATGTTCCAAATATCCAGTGGAACAAGAAAATCTTCGAAACTTCAAATTCAAGAATTAAAACTTATATAATATAGTAGTATGTCGGACTTGATGTCAATTAATAAAAGTAAATTCTTGTTGTTATTCGTAGAAATATTGTTCCTACAATTTACTAGTAAAGTGAATTGTGTAGGCAGGCAACTACAATAAAGCACTATTTTGTGTTTGTAGTGTCAAGTTTAAATATTTAAAAGTTTAACTACAACACAACATGTAACTGCCCTGGCTGTTACATGCTGGCCGCTTACTGTATTAGTAACAATCAAAATACAAAGAAGGTCTAGAGTTAACTCAATGTCACGTAAAACAAAGCGCCTTCGCGAACGTCATCAAAGCGCCGCATCTGTTATTCAAAGTCCACTTTGTTTGACGGCCGCCATTGTGCCCCCGCACCCCTCGCCCCGTGCCCCACCGCGCCGCGCCTTGTCATACTCAATGCTGTTGACATTGAGACGAGCTCTTTGAACTAATGGAAGTTCACCGCAGATTCATTGTGAACCAGGAAAACCACAATTTGCATTTAATTATTGATCCCTGTTACTTAACTGTCTTGTCTATGATATTTTCCTTCCTTTGTTCCTTCATCAAGAGGGCAACACAAAAAGGCTTTTTTCTCAAAGTTTTATCGATACTTATTTCATAATTCTTACATTTATTTAAAATATAATAAATACTTGGGTAAGTTTAAATTCATCAACATTGCGTGACATAACAAAGCTCAGCCGATGAAAATAAAAGTGTACTGAACTAAACCCCACCCTCCCACCCCACTCAGCCCGGCCCGCAGCGACACCCTCATTCCAACCCTGGCAAAGGCTCGTAAGCGAATAACAACACATGACCGCGTTTTACGTAGCGACTACATTAAAGCGTACATTTCTGCCGACTGCTATAAAAACTCATGCGGCTCGCCGGTCGCCGGACAATGGTCGCCAGCCGCGGCTAACAAATTATAAACATTTATAGAAAAAAATATCCTCGCATGAAATCCTCACCTAATTACTTCCTACTTTATTGGCTAGTTTTTATAAATTCGAACATCAATATCACCAGACCTCCTACCTTTTAAGTCTGTTTGTGATCTAACGTCGTTGTCGCGCCACCATTGTCATTTCGCTACATTAGCAGTTGTAAGTTACTAATAAAGTTGTTGTAGTTTTGACTATGTAATGTGATACAATTATGGTTCATCTAAAATTATGCGTCAAGGGGGAGCACGGATTTCCGAGCGAAAAGTCGTATCACATTCAAAATACACAAAGAAAGCGTTCGTTAGGCGACATTCCCGACAAAGCGAAATTTGAAACGTTGCAAAAAGAAGTCGCTAACAAGCGGAGAGTCAGCCGCTGCCGAATAAATACAATTCAGTTTGTGTTTCCATTGCAAAGTGGATTTTCTTAGCGAGCGGCGGCGCCTTAACGAGTTATGTTGTTCTGACTTCATCTCATTTCATTTTGCTTTTCATCTCGACGAGCTTCATTTTTGGCAAAGAAAAAGCAAAATGTTGCAATCATTTCAATACTTTAGCCTTCTCTAATAAATTTATGATACAATAATACAAGCAGGTAAGACACAAGATATCGTTATTCCACGAAATGACTGCACCCACCGTTAACACATCGCGGTAACAGTAAGTGAAGTGGACAGAAAGCAAGTTGCGACAAACATATATACTGACGAGACATATAAGTAAACATTTAATAACAAACGCCTTAAATATAGTTTTATGACACGTGAAATTGAATTTTATTTCAGGTTGCGCGGCGAGTCCTTAAATGCGGTCGCGTGCCAAAACATGTAAGATTTCTGCGGTATTTTAGATTTAACCTGGCGCTGGCGTCTACAGCGAGATGATATCGCTTGTAACCAAAATAATATTTCAATTTTATTCTAGTTGAAAGTTGAAAATATGTCTGAAGTAGGTTTGTACAATAATACGATATATTCTATAATATATCGTCAGTTGTAAAAATATGAATATATAGGTGTTAATTTACTTAACTTTTCTAACCACCCAGTCCACTGTACAACAGCTACCTACGTGTAGTCAATGTTTTACAAGTCATTCTCTGTTTATAACTTTGAGATTTATATGTATATATTTAAAGGTACGTTTTCCTAAATAATATTATGGTTTTAGAGGTATTTTAAGAAATTTATAAGCCAATTACGTCAACATTGCAATATTACTTGAAAATGTAAAAAAAAACATCCGTAAATAAATCTGAAATAAAAGTAAAATTGTCTCTTGATAAAAACCGGGGTGCGAGCAGTGTGGGAGCGGGGGCAGGCGCGGCGCTAGGGAGGGGAGGGTGTAACAAGCGGAGGGAATCGGTTGATTTTCCAAATTATTTCTAATGAAATTTAGTTTCGCTTTGGAAGTGAAAAGCGGATTCGTTATAAAGAGAGTCGCGTAACGAGTTCAGTTGTTAGTCGGCTACTCTCCGACGACGACGACGACGACGACGACGACCTCTCGCCTGCGCTCGCTTTCTTACTTATTATTCTGTCAATTCTACGTAATGGAGGAAAAAGTGTAACATAGGCTTTTCACGGCCCACCGCCTGCCGGTCCTCCCCGGTCCGGGCGTAGCGTACAAATAACAACAGTAACATCAAATGGAGCACTATTCATAAAATATACATATAATACACACAATATATCATATCATGTTCTCAAGAAGATTTCTAAAAAGTAACACTTAAGTCATATGTTGTTTGGCTTGTTTTGTGTTCTAACTGTTTATTTTGTTCACTATACTCTTACAACGATATGGTGTTCAATATTCATAGTATTCATATTTATGATTTACACCGTCCTCTTTCGTATTTTTGCAAAAAAAAAACAACACGCTTTGTGTGTTCATTTACTGAGATGAATAACGTGTATTTGCATGTAAAATGTCCCGGTACAAAGTATTAACTCCTTATTTTGAAGTACACAGTCGTTATTTATTTCCAGTCATTTAGGTGCAAAATTTACGCGACATCCGAGGGCGAGCAGGCAGGCGGCCACACGAGGGGCGGCGCGGGCCGGGCGCTACATTCGGGCAACTCGTGATGGCTCTCGCATAAATATCTCGCGCAAAAACAACAGCCACGGAGATGGGCACATCAATCACAGTTTCGTAACGTAGCGTAAGCAGCGTTAAGTGAATCCAGAGTGCTGCTCCACAATGTTACGTCGCGTCACCAGCACATCACATAGCATCACCGCCTACTCTCACACTCACACCTCTTCATCCTTGAAAACCCGTAGGTATAATAGGTATAATTACGTCAAGATTTTTAAATATTATGTTGAATTTCAACAGTCAGTGGAATGCATTTATCTATACGATGATATAGTGTCGACGTCATTGTCATATTCATACAAAAACAAGGTTAAATAAGCATAAATTCCATACATCCTTCGCATTGGAACGATAATATTGTGTTGAATAACTGACGTCACATGCCGTGCCGTGCCCAGTACCTTCATATACGTTGTAATACCGGCCTGTGGTGACGGTGTCGCGGCTGAAGTGCGACACATTTAACGCGTTGTAGCGAAGTACGGAATTGGTGGCGAGGGGTGAGGGGTGAGGGGTGAGGGGTGAGGGGTGCGCGAATATTTCTCGCGTAAGTTTGAGCTTTCATTTGTTTTGTCAGTACAAAAGGCGGTGCGCGAGCTCGGTCTTACCACTCTGGAACCCGAATATTACTGCTGGCTGTTTAGAATAATTATTATTCCACGAAATTAATGCCATATATACATTCCTGGAAATGTTATAAATACAAAACACCATAAAATTATCTAGTTAATAGCTATACTTGATTTAATTAATAAATATTGCGGCCTCTCTCTTCAGATAAATCGTCTATAAGTTTGTTGTCCCTTGTGGCAGCTCCTTGATATATCTTGGTATATCTTTGGCATATTTAACTTATTATGACATAATGCTAAAAGGTCGATTTGAATATATATTTGTATGTTCAATTGTGTTCTAAACAATGATTCAAAGGCGAAATGATAATCTGACTGTAGGAATAAGTGGCGTGCGGCCGCTGGCGACGTGCCAACCTATAGCTGTAACCAGCCCCTCGCCCCAGCCGCGACCCCGTCCGCACGGCACCGATACTAGCAGTGATATGATGAAGTACAAATCATACGGTGGCTAAAAATGAAATTTACTAGTCATTTAAACTGTTGCTTTATTTAAAAATAAAAATTGTATAACTAAGCAATATTGAGACGAATTCGAGATCTAATCATTCCAGCGACTAATGTGACAATGCCAGGACGCAGCACCGCGCGCGCTGGCATGTTGCGCCAGGAATTTACGATTGCGGTCGCCATACTTTGCTAATTATGCTTCCTTGTGCTCTCTTACTCTCCTGCAGCCGCATTCTAGATACAGAATTTCAACAAACAGTGAAATGTATAATATTTGTTGTCCCTGTTTCCTTCCCCCCTATTGATTTGCTTTCTAAGTTATTAGCTGGGTTATTGAGTGTTGCTGCGTCTATGTTAAAAGTAAACGCTAGTGAAATAACTGCACATATGAACATTGTAGCGGTGTTAAGGCTCGCTAGTGCAGTGCTTCCGGACTCTATATTAATAACACATAATTCAGATCGCTCTCATTGTTATGCAATTCGGTTTAATTAGTGGCGTGGTGCACAGCGTGAACATTGTCACACAACAATTGTGCGCGACTACGACGAGCACTGGAAATGGCTCCAACTTTCAGCTTTTACGGCCGCAACTTAAATGTAATGTTTGTTATTGTGGCGCCCACATAAATCGTTTGAATGCGAACCGCTTTGAACACGGAGTCGGTTCACAAATTTAGCTATTTACTTTAGGTACACTTCACATTTATAACTTAACCTTATTTATTTTAGTCTAACTAAAGTAGTTATCAAAGGAGTCTTTAAATATAATACACGTTTCAAATAAGTGATGCAACATCATCCCGAGCCCATACGAATACGTTTTCTATCATGTGCGTAGATGTTAAATAATAAAAACAAAGATGATAATGACATAGTTGGTGATTATCAGCGCTGTGATCGTTTGTCCGCGGTTTGGCAGCGCGCCCGTGTTATCTGTGACCGCTCAGATACGTTTGTAGCGTGCGCATTGTATTCGTGCCTGGCCGATTTGCTTTTGTTGCTTATTCGGCCTCCGCTGTTGCCTTTTTCTTTATCACTATGTTATTTGTTGTTGTTTATAATATCACAAATGGAATCCTATCACGATCACCTTTTAGCATACATTAAAGTATCAATGGACCGAGTGTTCAGCTTCAATATATATAAATTTGCAAATACTACATCGATCACTCTTTTTCTGATTCTACATGAACGTTTTCGCTCAAATGGCTCGGTTGTGAGGAGAATGGTTACTTAAAGCGCGGCTCACTTACAATGTACAGAGTAACACAATGCCAGCCGGCATCTGAACGATATTTCCATAAGCATCGGCGGAGGAATGTAAAGTAGCAGCGTGTTTGTGTTGTGTTGCATCGCAGCCGGGAGTGGCGCTGGCGACGCTCGTGCTGCACTCCTGGGACCGCACTTACATTTTAAAGCTTCTTCCAAGTAAATGTTTCTCTAGAACTTGTTTAAAACGCGCTGAAAGCATGTTTATCATTTACAATATATCTTCGAAAAATTCGTACCCTATCGGGGTGCACAACATGCATTTTTATAAAATTGGACTAATTCTCACTAAAATATTTACCCCTAATTTTTATGCGTTTTAAAATAAAATCAATGTTATCCTCGAATAAAACTCTTCGTATAACCTATCAGCACTATCATTTTGTAGCCTCGAAGTTAAATAAAATGTTTATTAAATAACGGTTAATATTTTACGAGCAAACATCGTCATCGTGCGACATCTGTCAGCGTGCGCGCGACGCGACACGACACACAGCACAGTCCGATGTTTAATACACCGGCCAGTACTATTATAAATGTTATCTTAATGCATTACTGTTCCCTTGTACTGCATGTATTATGTTGTGGTAGCCATTTGTATTTCAATCTGGAAACTCAATTGTAGTTTTTCATCTTTAATTATCAAGACAAAATGCGCACTTTCTGAATAGGACTGATAGTTATACCTGGTCCTACAAAGTAATTTACTGTGATTCTGATATAAAACTTAGCTTTTTAACGATACGTTACAGTAAATGGCTGGATGTGTTATCGGTGAGTGCGGCTGTGCAGGCAGGCAGGCAGGTCACCATACACACGACCATAAAGATAACTTATAATGACATAGTTTAGTTTAATGTGGGGATCTGGCGATGGAGAGTGTGCGGGGTCGCGGGTGTGCATTGTGTTACCACAGTCCAGTTCACTAAACGCATAACGACCAGATAATCATGTTTATATAATATAACAGCTACAGATCCGCGCGTTACGCCGCTACATTTTAACAAATACGATTGTTGCTGAATTTTAAATTGTAATTTTTTGGTAAACATATTTGCTTCTTATTAAAATTGGGCAAACAATATTTTAAAATGTTCATGATATGGTATTATATATAACTGGTAAATAAATGTGTGTTCTGTGTATGCATGTGTGTGTGTGTGTGTGTGTGTGTGTGTGCAGGTACACAGTTACATTTTGATCATTTTTAAAATAGCTTATCAACATAGAAAGGAAGACAAACGAGCGATACGATATTGTGAGCAATATCCGGCTGCTGCGAGCGAGCGCCCCGCCCCGATACAAACATACACACGCTTACGACGCTTAAAGTTTACGTCTGTAAATATACATACATCTTAAGCAATTATTATTATATTATATTTACAGTTATCTTAACATTACGTAATAACTGTTCAAGTTAATTATATGTAGATAGTTATTATAATTAATATAATAAATTTGAGAAGATGGTACTGCTGCAAAACCGCTCATAAATTCATATTCAGTTTATTAATGAACACATACAGTGCGGTATAATTATAACTTTTCACAACGTATTTGAGCTTTATTCGAAAAATTATAATACTTTGTTAAATTGAAAGTTTGTTTAAGCGATTAACATTGAGCAGCTCTCTCTCTCTCTCTCTCTCTCTCTCTCTCTCTCTCTTGCTCGTGGAGCAAATAATTTCGCGTTGTTTTAAATTTAACGCTCGAAGTGGGATTAACAACAATAATACGCTTTGATGTTTTAACATTATAAACTTTGTGTAAGCCTTTTGTTGATGTTATGAACGAGCTGTACACCTATTATTGACTTGCGCAAGTATCGTACTTGTACTTATACCTACATATATATGAAACACATGTGATATGTTGTGTTGTGTAGGACAGGAAAGTTTGATGAACATTACTTCTACTTCATCGGTCACAATTCAGGCTTCAAAACCACACCATTAATTATTAAAATTATTATAAATATTTCTTTTAAATTAAATTAGTTTTGAGCGTTGAATATTAGTCTTAATTAGCTAAGGTGACACGAGGGGTGAGGCGGGGGTGAGGGCGTGGGCGGGGGCGGGGGCGGAAGCGTGATAAATGACGCAGCTTGAGCCTTAATTACCTACAAATTCAATCAAGATAGGTACAAGAAATTGGCAAACCGACGATTTCATAGTGCAAAAATTAGTCGCCTTTTTACTGAGGAAGCGTGCGTGCCGGAGGCCTAATTTTAGACCTCTAACTTTTCCCTTCTCTTTTCTTATAAGAAAGGGATGTGAAGTTTAATTTGACAGGAGAGATTGATTTGACAGAGGAGAGGACGTATAGGAGGCAGAAATGTCCCCCTTCTGTGGGTCATGGCAACGCATATGCAAATGGAAATGTCTTTGATCAACTGTCACTTCGCTATTTTGGTGAATTTGAGTTGCCATTGCTCGTATGCTACCTTTTGCTGTAAAGGATAAGGGAAAAGTCTAGCAAGATACATAAATGTAGATCTAAGAAACTCTGAATTTATCAATTCATTTTACAAACTCGCTTCCGCAATATTTATCTTACTAAAAGGAATTGTGTACATTAACATTTTGTAAAATTAAAAGAAGATTGTAAAATCGC